AGGACCCCACCTTAAACATCGTCACCCACATCATTACAAGCCTTCTCCAGAAAGATACTGAACTGGTCAAAAAGAGTTTTCAAAGTTGCATGGATGTGTGAGCTTGCTGACCTTCAGCCACTAGGCACGCGCACTCCCAGAAGCAGTAGGAACTTTCCAGAGGCCCCGACTCTCCTGTGTACCTGTCGTGCAGTAAGTTCTGTCAATCGCAGATGCATCTGGAAACAAGTGACCAGTAGTCAACCGGTGAAGATGAACACCAGTCCCCTGTGAGAATGGAGAAAATGAAGAATAGGCCTATTTCACTTTATATTGTTTCCATATATGGCTTTGCTCATCTCTATTGAATTATTTCAGAACTGAGGTTTCCCTGAATGTGGAGCAGCTAATTCTCAAAAGGAAGCAGTGTAACACATAGACAATTCATGCATACACCAAGCAGAAGTTCAATCAATAAAATATATTTTTGATTAAATTATTTGTTTGATTTGAAAGATCAACTAAGATTATACAACACTATGTATCCAAATCTTTTATAAGATCTTTTTTATCATGGGTGATTTTTTTAACTGAGAATTTGTAACCTAAAATATACCAAGGAATCTAAACCTAAAAATGCTCCCACTTCATGTGTGCTATGCTACTTTTTATAAAAGGTAAATGAAAGTTCAATCTGTAAATTATGATTTACAAAAGACATTCAAGCCAAGTGGTCTCGATGAATTAAGCTGCTCACCAGATTTTGCCTTCAAGACATGAAAATTCTTTTCTGGGGATGCTTTTTAGTATTTCATCCTGTAATATGAGAGATTTTCCTGATATGTTATCTTATTTATATTTTCCCTTATTTTCCCCACTGCAGAATAGCACCTTTTGGTGCACTTGCTTTTTTTCTTAACCACCTGAAAATTCACAAACCTCTTGCTTCAAATGAAAGAATCCCAACTATTGAGCATTTTCAAATCTTTATGGAGACTTGCGTTTTCTTAATCAAAGTAAGCTAATTGTATGCTAAAATAGTCTCAGTAATGCATTAAAAAAGGGCTTTCATTGATAGAGAAGGGTGATTATTTGCCTTTAATTAACCTATACTCTTTCAAATCTATTGTATCTTGTTGTTTGGAAAATTCCTCGTGTTCCAAACTACCCCCTATAGCATGAACTTAAGTCAAAACATGTTTTCAATACATGGTGTTGCAGTGGCGCAACCTAAAGGACACAGATGTTTAGTTTAACATAGTTTTTTTCTTGAAGGAATACTCACATACATGGTTTGAAATGCACATAGATATGTGTCTTTATACTTATAAATGTGCATATATATACATATATATACACAGAGATACATGTATGTACATGAATATACCTTGAGTATGAATCACTGAAAAAATTGTTCTCCTAGCTCACCAGTGGTGGATAAAGATATAGTTCTTCTAAAGGTCACAAGGATAATATATTTTCCCCATCCATGCTGATTCTATGAGAAAAGAGTAATTTATCAAAATTAAACACTACGAAAGAAAGTGTTCGTCATTTCATTATCTACCCAGTTACAGTGGGAAGAAAATCAGTAACGTTATTGTTAGGTTTTGATGGTGGGACTTGCTTCCTTGCTGTGTGATTGTTTCCTGAGTGCGTGCAGACGCCTGACCGTGCCTGGGCACAGTGGCCACGCAGAACTCATGGACCCCGTGAGACCTCACTGCAGTCTCCGCAGGCAGATACAAAATAAAATGTGGGGAAACTATCTTTATGAAGTCGATGCATATCTTTAGGAAACACAAGCTATAAACATAGATACCTGATAATAGATATTGAAACTTGTCTCCTGTGTGTTACAATGTTTTAAAGGTAAATAATGAAGGAATGTTGCTTTGTACAAGTAACGTAAGTCGGAAATCTCTGAATGAAAGTTCATGTTGGTTCTGAATGGTTTTCTGCAGCGCCCAGCATGGGCTGGAATGGACTTATCACAGTGTGTTGGGAAATCGCCCGGTTCTGAGAATTTTTAATGGAGTGAACAGGAAACAGCCTTCATTTAGAAACACCCCTGAGCTTGAGCAAACTGGTGCCATAGACGTCTTCTCTGAAACTATGCTCTATTCTAGGGCCATTACCAGCCTCTGAATTGCAAGTGCTTAAAATTTCAAAAATTAAAACTTTTCATTATTGGCTACACATTTATCTTTTTTATGAATTGGTTATGAACAAATCCAAATATTCATACCAGCCAATTTTCATACTTTGTATATTAAGATATTTATCCATTTTTAACTTGTAAGTTAACAAAATAATACACCACAACAGCTTAGCCCAAGAGGAGGAGGCTACATCCCCCACAGGATGGTCAGTATGAAGGATCAGTGGCTGCCATCAATTTGGATTCTGAAAGCCTAATCGGCTTCAACATTTGGTGTAGAAACATTCTCATCTTGTGTAGCAAGACAT